ATTTGGGAGTAGAATTCAAATAGTGAAGTTGTTGAACTAACCTAATAAAGATTGTACATTTATTTATATTAATAATTATTTAATTAAATTAAGCATAATCAATAATTATTGTAATTTTATTATAAATATATTTTATGAATAAGATAATATGTCAATTTTGGTTATTATATTTGTATCAATGTAATCGAATTTGCCACACATACATAACATTTAAAAAGCACAAAAAGTTTAAAAGTTTGTAAAGTACAATAAATTTCTTTAAAATTAAAATTTTCCAATAAAGCCATAAATGATTAACTTGAGGGTGCGTTTGGTTCAGAGAATATTGTAGTATTAAGAATGTTATATTAATGGAAAAATAGATTATCTTGAATATTACTAAAAATATTTAAAGAAATGTGTTTGGTTGGTTGGGATAAACTGGTGGATACGTTATATTAATATGTTTGGTGAGAATATTATTTAAATTACTAAATTTCCTTTTTATTAAATATTATTATTTAGATTATTAATATAACCCCCTACATTTAAAAACTTAGCGAAAAAAAAAAAACACATAATAAAAGTTTGAAAAATCAACAAATGCACCCCAACCAACCCAGCCATTCCGCCAGTTGGCAGTCGACAACCCAATGGCACACGATTGGCCAAAAATGACCTTCATGTGTCGATCTGGCCAGTTTCAGTCAGATATAATCTGATCATTTTCGACTAGATCAATGGCCAAATCCATCAATCTGGCGCGACCATATGCCATTTTCGGCCATCAATATGGCTAGAGACGGCCATAACGATGACTTTCGGCGACTTCTGGAGACGGTCGGAGGTGGTGGCTGGGTGGTAGTGGTAGTCTACAATTTGTTTTAAATATAAGGGCATTATTGTCTAAAAACTTAATTAAACAGGGATAAAATTGTAATGATAGATTAGTGTAAACTTTCTTTAAAATAAAGGCATTATTGTCCTAAAATTTTATTAATAAGTGATAAAATTGTAACAAAAATAATATTACCAGGTAATCTTAAAATACTGAAGTAATCAGATTATCTTTTATATTACCAATGGTAATTACTATTGATTTAAAAGATTACTTGAATCTTATATTATTTGACAATCAAACATAGTAATCAAATAATATAAGATGACATTACCTCAGTAATCCAACATTACCTCCAACCAAACACACCCTGAAAGTTACAGTATCCAAATTGGATCAAGTTAATTGATTTTCAAAAACTATATATTTAACTTCAATCAATGGTCCAAATAACATATTGTATATATATACTAAATTTAGGAATCAATAATAAAACAAATAGAATTATTAATGTACTTATACTAAGCCTGTGACTCAATGTGCTAGAGTTGAAAGTTGTTAGTTTTAAAAACCCGTGAAAATGTGAAACCAAAAACATATAACTTGAAATCTAAATTATTTGATGCCAAAAAAAAAAAAAAAAAAAAAAAAAAAAATCTTTTTAAAGTTATAACATCACAATTGAAATCTTTTACATTTATTTATACATATATTATTGTAGAAAGCTAGACCAATATACATGAAACTCATAATGTATAACTTAAAACTAGAGAACTTGAAAATTAGAACATTGTGTTTGATGCTTACAATAATACACATAAAACCTATAAATAGTATAAATAATATTTAAGACTTAAAACAATATATGTGAAAACCATAACATTAGAACTGAAATTTATAAGATTTTAACGTCAATATCATTATATTTGAAACTTTTAATATTAAAATTTTATACTTTCAATATTTTGAGATGTCCTAATTAAATTTAAAATTATATATTTTTTATTTTTTAAAATTTTTATTAATTAAAAATATTAAAAATATTTTTTATTTAAATTCTTGGGACAACCGGTTACAATAACTGGCTGTCCCAAGTCATAATTTACTCATAACCTTACACAAAAACAACTTTTAATATTAGTAATATTTATAATGTATTCTTTTTATAGTGTTTTAGATGGAAATTTTTGTTATTTTAATATAAATTTTAAGCCGATTAACAGTCAGCTGACTATATTCTAAGCCAAAGGACCAAAATGCTACTATTTAAAATAAATGTCCTGGATGGTTCCGAGAACCAAAGTAATTTCTCTCAACGGTTTTGCGTACCATAATTTTAATTAAATAATGCATTCCAGGTTGGTGTTTAGTTCACCTGCAGATTCTCACAATATAATATTACTAGTCAACACGGCCTTCAGCTTGCTCTCCAAGGAGAACGGCTTCAATTTTCTCGCGATTTACAATATATAAATGCTGTTCTCTCAAACATATGATCCAAATTCAATCCCTGTCAAACATTCACAAAATTTAGCCCTTCAGAAAAGCTCAAAAAGATGCAGCTCAGATTTAATTCAATCTTCTTTTTTATTCATTTTCTTGTGTTCTTCCACTTCTTATGTTCATCTTTTACTGTTTCTGCTAAAGAAAGAGAGTCTAAAATAAATCTGCCATCTTCTCTTAAACGCGTCAAAAAATGCTCGTGGCTGTCAGGTTCTGGTCTCCACGCCTTTGAGTTTTATGATCCGCAAGACGAAGGCGATGTTGTTGGGGTTTTAGTTGCTAGAATTCCAGAGAAAACTGTTGGAAAGAACGCCGCCTTGCTGTTGAATAATGAAGGCAGAGTTATTTTGAAATCATGCGAAGGCTTTGATAATGATGGAGAAAACAATTTCAAGTCAATTTTCAGTTTGTTTCCTTTTTCTATAAAGAAAAATGATCATGACTCGAAGTTTTGTGTTTTCTCAGTTTGTTTGTTCTTCTCTTGGACTGCTTATTTTCTTCTCTTCTTTATCTTGTTTAATAAATTAACTCTTTAGGATCGGAATTTCTTCATTCTTTATCTCTCTCCTTTTTTTATTTTTTTATTTTGGGTTTCGAATATTTAATCATACAATTTCTTTCATTTATAAAAAGCTGGCATTTTGGATAATACCCCATAATATCATGCTGGTAAGATGACGAAAATCGTATATGGTAACATGGAATTTAAAGCTGGTCACATTGAATATTTTTTTTTTATATGTAATACAATTAATACACTATCGGATATAAATCATTAACTAAGACCTGTATTAGTTTGTGCTCTCACAATATGTAAGGTTTGAAGGTTTGAATACCCTCACAGACATTGTTTTAAAACTCGACCTATTGTGTGTCTCGGCAAGATGATCAGGTCACGGGTCGGTTGGTCCAACCAGTTAGACCGGTGACGTCAGCAATAAAAACATTTTTAAAAAATTATAATTAGTTCATGAAATTTTAATTTAATTTAAAAATGCACAAAAATATCACAATAAGCCCCTAAAGTTTTGAAATAATGCTAAAACACATCTAAAATAAAAAATTAGTCCCTAAAAATTTGAAATTTTGCAAAAACCCTTGGAACCTAAACCTGTTCAGAGAGGCTATCGGGTCCTGGTCTAATTTGTCAGTCTGGTCCAGGTTTAAAACAATGCTCACAAGTACCTACAAAATCAAAGACCGTTGTTTGTCGCATTTCAAATATTGAAACTTTTAGTACAATATTTTAATTAAAATCAGTAGTATATTCTAATTAAATAAAACTATTAGCATATAAAGTCAATTTTCTTTTTTGGGAAGAAAGCCTACAATTTAAATTAACAATTTTTTTCCTTAAAATCATAACCAAAAAAAAAAAAAAAAAAAAAAAGATAAATTAAATATCATATAATTCTATATTCTATACTATTATATTATTTAACTATTTAGTCTTAATTTTTTAAAGTTCTTTAACTTTATATGTAATTGTATATTATAAAATGAAATATTTTACATGTAATATAAGGGTTGATGACATTAATTCCTCTAAGGTATGATAAAATAAAAAAATCTTTATGACGTTTCAAGAATAACAAATATTCCTTTATCGTTAAGTTTTCGGTGTTCATTATTATTTATGCAATATTGTAAAATTTAGGTACTGTTGTTCAATTTTGTTTACTCAGAGCAGCAATAATATATGTACTATTCAATCAATTGTTTGGTGTCTCATTGCATATTGTTGAATGATCATAATATTATGAAGCATTTCATTCAACTATTCCATAGTTTAATACGTATAATAATAAAGAAATTTCACTAATTAAAAAAAAAAATTAATAAACGAAATCTTGACAATGTGAAAACTGTCAACAATTTAGTTAAAATTCTAAAAAAAAATTTGACAATTCGGCTAAATCATTGACAGTTGTTGAACTGTCAAGAATTTGGTTCAAATTCTGCTAAATCCTTGATGGTTATCGAACTATCAAGGATATGTCAAAAGATCCTTGATAGTTCAAAAACTGTCATGACCCTCTCTTGACAGGGGTTTTGAACTGTCATTGTACCCCTTTCTTGACAGAGAATACCCGTCAAGAAAGGCATTTTTCCTCGTAGTGATCTTATTTTCCATTATAGTGACGTTTATGGGCTAAAAACATAAATATAAAAACAAACAGGACTTAGTACTACGATGCGAAATAGGATTAGGAGGCAGTGGGATATCTATAGTCCCTTCCAGCATTAATAAAACTTTCTTCATTGAAGGACGAAGGGATGGCTCATCAATGATACACCAAAGTGCAATTTTCATCATCCTCTCTAATTGTTTTAGATCAACATTTTCATCACCTATTATTTGAATCAACTCCCCAGCATCAAAACACTTGTAAGCCCAATCTTCAAGAATAGCTTGATCCTTCGGAAGATTTTGGTCCATACTTCTTCGACGATGTATGATTTGCAAGAACACAATTCCAAAACTGCAAACATCTGCTTTCACTGTCATAGGAATATTTTGATGCCATTCTAGTTCAACATATCCCCTCATTCCCCTTATTGTTGTATAAGTTTTAGTTTGGTCTAGTTTCATTAGCTTGGCTAATCCAAAATCAAAAGTTTTTGCATGCATTTTCTTACCCATGAGTATATTATGAGGTTTTATGTCACAATGGATGATCTAAGTTTCGCACTTATCATGTAGACAAAGAATGCTTCTTGCTATATCGTGAGCAATGCCCATTCTTTCAACCCAGTTAGGTTGTTTTTCTAGAGTGAAGAGAAGATCAACAAGAGAACCATTGCTCATATACTCATATACCAACACATTTTTGGGTCCATAAGAGGAATATCCAAGTAGACGAACTAGATTCCTATGATGGGTTCTCCCAATTGCCTTAATCTCAATCAGGAATTCCCTTTCTTCTTCAGCGAACCCCTTCTTTAATTTCTTGACAACTACTAGTTTTTGGTAATTCGTCATTGTCCCTTTATAAACTATACACGAAGATCCTCTATCAATCTCTTCCTTGAAACCTTCAGTCATTTTTTCAATCTTTGCAAAACTAAATGATGTGGGGCAATATCCTCGCAAAAGCAATAGTCAAAATTCTCCTATATGACTAGCAATGATATATGTAGATAACAAAACCGAATATTGAGAAAATAACAAATATAAAAACAACAAATAAAAAACAGACAATTATTATCATATCCACCAGGAGTTGTTTCTTGCTTTCTTTGAGCTCAACAGTTCCGCTATCAGTGAAGGATGCAGTAACTTCTACCTTGACAAGAACGATATTTGATGAATCACCATTGGGATCTTTTCTTGCAAATCTCAAAGGAAGCCTTTGCATTATGCAGTCTCCATTTGTAGTACTAAATTGTGCTACATAACAATTACTATCCTCCAAACATGCTTATTTACAGTCTTCTTTGGATACTAGTAGAACTTTATATGAAACATCTTCAAAGATATAATTATCCAATTCCTAAATGGTGTAGTTCACAGCTCTATACAGGTTTGAGAAATTTCTTTGACAGCCTATATATTGATTTTCTTGGTCAACATATGCAAATCCTTCAAGACATATACAGCCAAATTTCTAGTTTTGATTTATAATACAATAGCTATTAAGGCCACACAGACCCTTAGGCACACATTATCTTCCGAAGATTCCCACACAACTAACCTTGAACCATTTTGTCTTAAATTGTAATTCGAATATCCCATCCCAATCAATTTTCACCAAATAGATTGTTTCTTTATTAGTTGGATATCCACTCTTTATTATATTTTTTACGTGGAGGCCTCTGGAACTAGCCATGTAAAGATGGTCATTGACATCAAGTTTTTCTTCATAATCCAATTAGTTTATATCTAACACCCAACTATTTGACGCCCAATATGTTGGGTAAGGAACGTTTAGCGGAAGTGCCCAATTGCCTGAATTTTAAAACTTCCTCCCAGTTGTGCCATTATGATCGAGGTAATAACGATTTAATGCAAATAACACATGCATGTATATATGTATCAAAGACATGAAATACAAAACAAGAGTAAGAAAAGGTTACCGACTCCTTTGCTATTTTCTTTCTCCTTGTTGAACCCTCACTGAGTACCCCAAGTGTGGTACCTCTAGATCGATACAAACAGGATCTCTTGTCGATGAGAATTAACCCACTATAATGAAATCAAGAACAACTTCTTCCTCGGGAAGGCAGAGAATATCGGTGGCCAGGGTTTTCTTATAATTTTTCTCTTCTTATCAATAATGAACCCTAAGGCTCCTTTAAATAGCCACCAAAATTGGATTAGTAGACAATCCCTAGAATATCCTATTCTAGTTTAAGTTATTCTCTGATGGATTAACTAATAACTAAACCAAGGCCCATTTGAGTGCTAGCCCAATTTAAGTCAAAGTTTAATTATTAAATCCATTTATAAAGCCTCCTTATTTGGACTTAATTTTTAATTAATTAATTTAACTAATTAATCAACATTTAATTAATTTATCCAATTACAAAAATACACTTTTAACCAATTCTATAATTAGTCAATTAGGACTTTTGGGAACTTTAATATCCTCATTAACTCTTTAATAAGAAAATCCTTGATTCCCATCAAGCTTAGAAATCCATAATGTGTGTAACCTTTCTAGGTTCATCTATCTATTGGTAGTAAGGTAGATATCAACTCTTGATATCTATCTTCCTTACAAATCATGAGTGACACCTAGCAGTATATCATGGTTCCTAATCAATGAATGAAGTGGGATCATATGAACCTATAATATTGAGTGTTTTAGTCATGTCACCTCATTCCCTCCGATTTCGTCTTCTAATCAAGTGCAGACCATGGTATAGTCAAATCCTTAACTTGATCACATAATTCAGATTATCTTAAAATGTAGAATTGTGTTTTTATGAAACCATTCATAAAACACAAATGTTTTATCCAAAGACTTCCTTCACATTAGTTGATCCCTTGGAACACTTAAACTCGTAATATCCGAGCCATCATATTCCTTATTGAAAGCGCATATGACTCCGTACATGGTTAACTCATGACCAACAAGCACTACACACTATATATAAACAATCTAGTGATAACATACTGAAGAACCACGAGCTCCCATGCATAAGACATGATCGCATCTCAGGTCTAGGGATAAAGTGACATTAACGCACATAACGATGATTATTGACTAAAGATATTATATGCATGTGATCAATCGTCTAGCAGTCACATTCAATGCTTCATTCTCTAATTAAACACCTAATTACTCGTGCCCTTATGATATGAGTCTCATCACCCACCCATCAACATCTCAGTTAATCAATGGCGGCACACAGTAATGCCGATCTTGTGATAATATTGCCTCGATTATTATCACATCTGATCAGGAACATACTTAAAAGCGAGTCACATGAAAGAATCCTGATACTCATATTCTCAAACTCTTTGAAAATAGAATTCTTTCCAAAACAAGCTCGAAGACATACGCAACTTAATTAAATATAGATGACACAAAGCAACGTAGAATAATCGTCATTTTATTAATGATAAAACATTACAAAATTTATATATAAATGTTTCCTTAAACCTTACACCCATCATTGGTTTTAGGGCACATACACTAACAAACTCCTACTTGCACTAAAACCAATTGCTATGGTATCCAATACCCATCTTCTCAAGATGGCGATCTAATTGTAACTGTGTCATAGGCTTTGTGAGTGGGTCAGCTACATTGTCTGCTAATGGTGTCTTTTGCATGATGATTTAACCATCTCAAACGTACTCTTTGATTATATGATATTTTCACTGAATATGCTTAGCTCTCTGGTGAGACCTTGGTTCCTTGGCTTGTGTTATAGCCCCATTGTTGTACAAAGGTGATGTGCTCTTAATTGATGGAACCACACCAAGTTCTATTATGAACTTCTCTATCCATATCCCTTCCTTTGCGGCCTTTGAAGTACAAATATACTTAGCTTCTGTAGTGGAATCTATAGTTGTAGCTTGTTTGGAGCTTTTCCAACTAGCTGCTCCTCTATTACAAAGAAAAATAAATCCCGATGTAGATTTTCTATCATTAACGTTTGATTTGAAATTTGAGTATATATACCCATCAATTTTCAATTCAAAACTAAGGTATGTCAAAATTAAATCCTTAGTTCTTCTCAAGTACTTAAGGATATTTTTGACTGCTACCCAATGTTCTTCTCCAAGGTCAAACTGATATCCGCTTGTAATGCTTATAGCATAAGCTATATCAGGCCTTGTACATGGCATGGAATACATAAGACTACCAATTACTGATACATATGGTATTCTGCTCATGCATTCTCTATTCTCAAGTTTCTTGGGGCTCATTGATCTAGATAAATGAATCTTATGAAAAAGGGTAGACAACCTCTCTTAGAATCTTCCAAATCTTTCATGGAGAATTTATTTGATAACCAAACTTTGACTGATGCCATTAAACCAATGTCATTTCCAAGTGGTAGTATGTCATCAACATATAATACTAGGAATATGATTGCGCTCCGACAAACCTTTTAATAAACACATGGTTCATCCATGTTTTTGATAAAATCAAACTCTTTGATTGCCTCATCAAAATGAATGTTCCAACTTCTGGAGGCTTGATTGAGTCCATAGATGGACCTTTGTAGCTTACATACCTTGTCACTTTCGTCACTAGATATAAAACCTTGTGGTTGTCCATATAGCTATCTTCAATAAGATATCCATTAAGAAACGCGATTTTAACATCCATTTGCTAAATCTCATAACTGCCAAATGTAGCTATTGCCAATAAAATCCTAATTGATTTTAACATGGCTACTAGAGAAAAAATTTTCCTTATAGTCAATTCCTTGCTTCAGAATATAACCTTTTGCCAATGGTCTAGCCTTGTAGGTTTCTACTTGGCTATCCTTACCAATCTTTCTCTTGTAAACCCATTTACACCAATAGGAACAATTCCTTCAGGTGGGTCGACTAGAGACCAGACTTTGTTGGAATGTATTGAATCAATCTTTGATTTCATGGCTTCAAGCCATTTTCTAGAATCGATCTCTAACATCACTTCCTCATAAGTTCTAGGATCATCACCATGATCAACCTCCCCAATCAATAAACATTCCCAATCCTTTTGATTAAGCAAGTTGTATCTCTCTGGAGGACGAGACACTCTAGTAGACTTATGAAGAGTTTGTGTTTCGAAAGGTTGAGTTGGTTCTTCTTGAGGTTGGCCGTTTTCTTGCTCAGAAGATTCTTTTTCTAGCTCTATTTTCCTTCATACACCTCCTTCTTGAATGAACTCTTCTACAAGAAAAATTGCATGTCTATTGATCAAAACTCTATGATCAAAGGGAAAATAAAAGAAATATCCCATGGAATCTTTTGGATACCCTATAAAACGACCTTTCTCAGATCTTGTTTCCAATTTTTCTGTTAAGATTTTCTTAACGAATACAGGACAACCCCAAATCCTTAGATAGTTAAGGTTAGGTCATTTGCCATGCCATATCTCGTATGGTATTTTGGAAACATATTTGGTTGGAATCCTATTTAGGACATATAAATTGGTTTGGACTACATACCCTCACATTGACAATGGTAAGTCTGTATAACTTATCATTGATCGTACCATGTCTAACAAGGTACAATTTCTTCTCTCAAATACACATTATATTGTGGCGTATATAGAGGTGTCAATTGTGATATAATACCATAACTTTTGAGATAGTCTTGGAAGTCAGTACTTAGGTATTCTTCTCTATGATCTGATCGTAGAACTTTAATACCTTTTCCTGTTTTTTTTTTCTACTTTAGCTTTGAATTCTTTGAACTTTTCAAAAGATTCAGACTGTACTTCATCAGGTACAAATAACCATATCTCGAATAATCATCAATAAAAGTTATGGAGTATTGAAAACCTCCCCTTGCCATTATACTAAATGGCCCACATACATCAGAGTGGATTACTTCTAACAAATCTTTGGCCCTTTGACATTGTCCAACAAAGGGTGATTTGGTAATTTTGCCTAAAAGACAAGATTCACAAGTTGCGTAGGGCTGTGAGCCCAATGATGCTATTAAGCCATCATTTCCCAATTTTGTAATTCTTTTGTCCCCTTATAACCTAATATTAGGTGCCAAAGATGCTTAGAACTAATGTTACCTCTTAACCATACCAGTTTTCCCCTTAACTGGTTTTGAACTGGTTTTAATTTAATATTTTTATAATAAACCTGATTTTTTTATTTTTTATTTTAATTTAATATTTTTATAATAAGCCAGTTTCTATATTCTCCTAAACCGTAACCGAACTGAAAATTAGGTTTTTTATTTTATTTGAACCGAAATCGAACAAGTTTTTCGAATAACTGAACATTTGGTTTCGTTATTGGTTCGATTCGGTTTCTGCATTTTTCTTAGTAGCCCTAAGCATATGTAGACTAATATGGATTACAATTTCACTTATGTAATATTAGGTGTCTTATAAATTTGTGTTAATAATAATAATAATAATGATGATGATGATAAAATAAAATAAAATAATAATAATAATAATAATAATAATAATAATAATAATAATAATAATAATAATAAAAAAATTGAATGTATTTAATGTCATTTTTATATTTCTTTTCCTATAACTAATTTGTGCAAAATTGACTATCATTGAGTATTACACCTACTTTCTTCGTATGAATAAAAAATTATTTTTAATAATTATTGGATTTAAATATAGTATTCACCCTTCTATTCATTTCTTGCCACATCACTTTGTATAGATATCTTTTTAAAATTTCTTTGTACCACTATCATTATTGATTAAAAAAAAAAAGGTAAAATTACAAGTCAAAGTAACGCCCACTTCGAATGATAGCACTATTAATCCAGCCACAAGGCCGAAACAACACTACAAGCCGAATAAGCAGGTAATGACCACATAGCCCCAAACTTCAATAGACCACAGAAAAGCCCAACAACTAAACTACAAAGGCCAGATAACTAAACACAAACGCCACCCCATACAAACTTTAGTTTGCTCAAATGAAGAAACATCCATATGCAATGTAGTTAACTAATTAATGAATTGATTAATTTTTAAGACAACAATGTTGAACAACAAGCTACTTATTAGTGGCCAAGTGGTTCGATAGGGGATGTTGAGTATATTACTCAAGAGTCTTGAGTTTGAGTCCCTCCTCCATTGCTAATAGGAGTAGCCACTAGAGCTCTTATCTGGTCAATAGTTTCAGGGTCCTAGGGGATTAGTTTGAGGTGTGCGTAGGCTAGATCGGACATCCCAACATTAAAAAAAAAAAAAATATAATGTAATACCCAAGATGTCAAGGTATGTTCCCAACTCAAAATAGCCTTTAGATGTTTATTTTATGTTAAAAAGCATAAAATCTAAGGGCAAAATTCATTTAAAACAGTATGATCAATTATCCATAAAAGGGTATTAGGGCAAAATAGTCATTTGGCTATAGATAAACATTGAAAAAGTCAAGGATAAGTAGGCTTAATTGCATTTAATGTCTTAATTAAGTAATAATTATGTTTAGTGCCAATGACCAAAATGTCCTTATATGAAGAATTAAGGACTTAGAGTTAACATTAAAATAATTGGGCCAGTAGCATAATTGGAAAATTAATGAAATACTTTCCTATAATGAGAGGAAATTCTTTCAAGCCAAGAGAAGACATCATTTCTCCACCTTTCTTCCATTTTCTCTCAAATCCTACATGAAACAAGCTTTCTCTCTCTAAGTTTCAAAGGAGTTTTGCATAATTTTTCAAGGAGAACAAGATAGAGCCTTGGATCTTCAAATTGAAGGGTTTAGGTAAGGATTAAAACCCAGTTGTAATGTGATTTGAGATTTGAGGTAGATGTTAGGTATAATGTTATATATGTAGGATTAAAGTGTAAAAGAGATAAAGGCAAAGGTTGGTGGAGATTTTTTAAAAAGGTAAGAAGAACCTCCCATGACTTTAGGGATTATGCTACGGTTTGTAGATTTTAATGAAACCTTAAATTAAGGCTTTAAGACATAGAATTAGTTTATGGTAAGTATATTTGACCCATAATTTATTTATTGCCTTGAATTCATTATGCATGAAGTTTTGTCATTTATGTTTATGAGTTGTTATGTTTAATTAAGAAAATGAAGTATTAATGTTGATTGCGGCAAAACTTTAGTAGTGGAGGCCGCATGGTGTTGAATGATTGCTATTAGAAGTGTTGATGTTGAAAGAGAGTTGAAAGAAGGAAGAAATCCCTACAAGAAAAATGACGTTCTGCAACCATTTTTTTAGCAACTAACCAGAATTAGTTACAAAAAGGCTGCATTTACCAACTGAATTGCCATTAGTCGGACAAGAGCAACTCAATTTTGGGGTCCACATGTTCCAACTTTTGGCGCTAAAGTTAATGTTCTGCAACTATTTTTGTTAGTTGCAGAACAAGTTGCTTTAGTGACTATAATTTAGTTACAATTTTTGGTTGACCATTTTTCCCTCCATAATTTGACAATTTGCATCTAAAATATTTTATTTTGCATCTACATTATTGGTTACAAAAAACCTTTTTTGCAACTATTCTTTAGTTGCTAAATTAGTTGCAATTAATTGAAATGTATTTAACTATTATGATTAGTTCCAGAAAATTAAATTACCAAAATATCCCATATTTGGACAATAATACAAGGGCCCTGAGGCATTTTTAGCACAAATGTTTGGGTTAGTTGCAAAAAGTTATATACAGCAACTAAATTCGGTTTAGTTGCCAATTTAAGTTGAAAAATTCATCTTCCCCCCAAATTATTTGTTCCTGCCAGACTTGCAACTATAACTAATTTTTTGCTGACTAAAAATTTAGTTACAATGATTTGTTTGCAAAATATAATTATTTTAAAAATTAAACAACTAATTACTAGTCATTCTTTTCAAGTTATTTACAAAAAACCCTAACCTATATAAGCAACCTTTCCCCAAATTCCCAATCTCTCCACGCACGCAAATCCCTACCCTATCCCCAAATTCCCAATCTCTAACCTTACCTACCTTTCTCTTCTCCACGCAAATCCCTCCCTGTTTCCCCAAATTCCGAATTTCTTCTCCACGCAAATCCCTGGCGTTACCCCAATAGAAGAAGTTTCGTTGCTGCTCATTTGATGGATTGATGCACCACTCAGACTTGGTATATATTGTGTTGGAAACTGTTATCTGATTTCAGCTCTACTGGGTTCTAAATATTTGTACATTCTGTGTGCAAAATACAAACTCCCTTTGTAGCTTATTTAATTTCTTCTATGAATACCCCATTTATTTTACATCTAAAGTCATTGTGGCCA